CAAGCGAATTAAGGTGAAAAGGACTAAATGGGGGAGAGTGAAAAGGGCCGATCATTTATTTACTTCTTTCTTCAGCTGAGCAGAAACAACAAACCAGTAATTAAGAAATTAACAAAAAAAGTATCGGGGTAAGAAGAGAGATAGCATGAGAGTACTGGGACATTAATTGGAGTAGAGGGGTGACCACTGAGAATTTTTTCCGAGTGGGGGCTTTCCCTTGAGTAGCAGGCCTGTATCGACGTGGCCAGACCTTTTACAGCCTGAATGAGCTGGACATTGACATCGGCAGTTACGGAGGCGGCGAGGTTTGCACAGATAGCGTAGGTTTTTCCACTTGACGAGGAGAAGATGACTTAGCAGACTGCTTCCTACCGGTTTATTTGGGCTGAGCTGGTGCTGGGGTTGACTGGACAGCATCTGCAGGTGGAGTGTCCTAGGTATTGTAAGCCAGTAGTAGCAAGTCTTCTTTTGATAGACCTTGGTTAATTATTCTCTAAAATGGAAATTAATAAAATAAAGCTAATTGTCAATCTGAGGACATCTGAAAATGCTATTAAGCAAACTGCATCACAGGTGTGGTGTTTACTACTAGTGTTGCCTTTTCTGTTAGGTGATTTAATTGATCCAAAGAGCCCACATTGGCATCTTTTCCTGTTGTTGAGGGAAATATGTGACAATTTTTGCACCTGTTGTGTCAAAAGGGCTTGCTGCTTATCTTAAACAACTAATCACCATACACAATTCAAGTTTCTTTATCCTGACAGGAATCTTATTCCTAAACATCACTATGACACACACTATCCATGTATATTATGACTTTATTTGGACCTCTTTCCAGGTTGAGGTGCATGAGGTTCAAATAAAACATCACCCTCTTAAGCAACAGTCCCAAGTAGTCTAGGAAACGCAAAAAAAAAAAACATTAGGAGAAATTAATAGCTTTACTCAGCTCCTACTCAGTCTACTTACTACTCTGAAGCAACCCCTCCCCACTTCACAGAACTGCTGGAGCAACTTGCTCAGGTGTTAGGGCTGTGAGTGCTTAATTTCCCCAGTAAAGTACAACAAAGATGAAAGATTCTTTGTAAATAAAACTACAGGGAGGTGACTGTCACTTCCTTCCATTGAGAGAACGCTAGTTAAGTACACTAACAGCCTTCAAAGCTATACTACAGCACACTCCAGTCACTCACCTATCCTCTAGAACTGCTGGAGCAGCTTGCTCAGGTGTTAGGGCTGTGAGTGCTTAATTTCCCCAGTAAAGTACAACAAAGATGTAACATTCTTTGTAAATAAAACTACAGGGAGGTGACTGTCACTTCCTTCCATTGAGAGAACGCTAGTTAAGTACACTAACAGCCTTCAAAGCTATACTACAGCACACTCCAGTCACTCACCTATCCTCTATGGGTTCTGATGTTTGCTACAGGGCCTTTCACACCGCTTTAGTTCCAGAACTAAATGTACAGTACTTAAGTACTGGGACGATTTTGCGCGAACTATTTCCCAGTACCATTTAAAGGGTTGCATTCGCACCGAGAGTGTGTACTAAGAAGTGATGTAAGCCGGTCGACAGCGTCGTCATTTGTGCGCGGCGGCAGTCCGGTACTAAAATCGCACCCAGTTCCGGCGGTGCGAAAACGCCAAAAAGTGGGTAGTTCCACAATTAGTTCTGGTACTATGAAAAGGTTCCCGCGGTGCGAAAGGCCCTTATGACTGATGTTTCATTAGAAGATGGAGATGTCGCACAGTAAAGTTCGCACATCAACTACAGGGACAGACTAGGACACGCAGACCAGTGAGGGGCCCAGGGAAGAACCAAAGTGCAAGAGAACCGAAGGCCTCGGGGGCCAACCTTGTGGTGAAAACTTCCTCAGGTTTTCCCCATCAGTAGTTTTATCCCCACCTCACTGGTCCATAGGTGTCAAATTTCTTAAAACTAGATTAAGAAAAACACTACACGATCAACAGAAGTCTAAAAAAGGCTATGCATGAACACTGCTGGCCTGCTGTTTCTTTGTTTTCTTTTGTTGCAGGTATGTGTATATGCCATGTCGTCTCATATGTAGCACCCTGGTGTAAAGCATCACCTCAGACATCCATGAGCAAGCTTCATGAGGGCAAAGAGTCATCTGAGTGACATTACGTGGAAAATGGACAGAAAACAGATGGACATGGACATTCAGGACTGCCACTCTTATGCTACATGGTTTTCTGTGTCATCATGCAGTTTGTACATTACCATCCCTTATTAATAGGTATGGTTCTGAAAAGAACTACTACACCTAAGTAAATATAGGACAAGACACAAAATAAGTTAATGTGCCTGTAACTTTTTCAAGTTAAATGACTGCAAGATGGGACTTTAGGCTATAGAATGGACTTATGGAGGTTTAAATTTGTATTATGTGAGAGTTATTAGAACTCTCAAAGGGGGGGGCTGTGGGATTACAAATTTAAGAATCTGTCTTAGATATACTGATCCTATATCCTGACATACAATCACCTGAAAAGCTAAGGTGAAATGCATTGTATTTAGCATTTATAGTAAAGATGATGACATCAGATAAATGATTCTATTAAACAAAGTTTGTGGCAAGAGGTTCCTGACAGTTCCTGTTCTCTTGTTGTTAGTCAAATGAGCCAGATGACTCACCTGAGATTCGAACGAGCGCAGGAGGAAGTACAGACACTCCTCTCGTTGATAACAGGGGAGCGGATCCAGCGAGAGCTTGATGGGGCGACGCGGAATGAAAAAGTTTTTTTTAGATCCATGCATTATAAACCTGAGGCCATCTGTGTCATTAATATTAATCAAAAACTAAAAGAGGAATCACTCATATTTATTAAAGGGTTACTCCACCCCAAAATGAAAATTTTGTCATTAATCACTTACCCCCATGTCATTCCAAACCCGTAAAAGCTTTGTTAATCTTCGCAACACAATTTAAGATATTTTGGATGAAAACCGGGAGGCTTGTGACTGTCCCATTGACTGCCTAGTAAATTACACTGTCAAGGTCCAGAAAAGAGTGAAAGACATCGTCAGAATAGTCCATCTGCCATCAGTGGTTCAGTCTGAATTTTATGAAGCGACGAGAACACTTTTTCTGCTCAAAGAAAACAATAACGACTTTATTCAACAATTCGTCTCCTCTATACACAAATAGCGTACCTTGTTCTGTGTCAGCCGCACCACAAGGATACGTGTTCTACGTTTTGATTTGAACGAAAACAGCGTACCCTTTTGGTGCGGCTGACACAGAACAGTGTATGCTATTTGCATCCAGCGGAGAGTTGTGGACTCGAGACTTGACCCGGACTCGAGTCCCAAATTTGAGGACTTGTGACTTGACTTGACATAATCAAAGAAGACTGGCGACTCGACTTAGACAACAATGACTCGAGACTTGACTTGGACTTGAGCCATGTGACTCGGCAAGTCTTTACCTTCTTAAAAAACAGAGTTCTGATCAATATAGGCTGGTTACTGAAGCGTATGGTCACACTGGTATGATTAGCGCAGCTTTTGGCACTGAGCCAGAGGGGGACTCACTAAGTGAGTGCTTGTTAGTGTTTTCATCCACATAATGTTTAGGATATTTAAAGTTTTAGACATTTAAAATACAAATAATCACTATAAACCACTTGAAGAAGAAGAAGAAATGACGATGTATATTGAAACAGCAGTAGCCTAATAATAGGGTAAAACCTTTCAAACATAATTTGATTGTTTGTTTTTTTCACGTCAAACGCTTATGTAGTCTTGATTTTTTTTTCACGTCAAACGCTTGTATGTAGCGTACATATAAAGTTCTCTCTATTCTTCCTGTTTACCAGACACTCACTTTCATGTCTTTCAGAAGAAATGGAGGCTCTACTACATGGTAACGCACATATAGCCCCTAAACAAAGCAATCAACTGTGATCATTATGAACTTCTTTAAAACACAAAATACATTTACTTACATATATTTGTGTATCTGAATAGCTACAGTTTTGCTGTGAATAATTTTGCATGCCTCGTTTAAACCTGCTATAGTGAACGGTGTGGTGCCAGACTTGTTTAGGACTTGAAGCTTAAATTTGAGGACTTGCAACTAGGGCTGTGCGATTAATCGAAATCGAAATCGAATCGAAATCGCGATTTGAGATGTTGCGATTTCCTAATATTCGACCTCACGTTATGTCAATTACATTTACACACTGCCTCCGTAATTTTCGTCCGTCATAAAAAAATTCAAATCGGGTTCGATTTTTGCGTTTTTCGCATCCGGAGCAAGCATTTTAAGAGGTGTTTTGACAGTACAGAGCCACCGTACAAGCGAACGCCAAAATCCAGAATGGCAATTGTCAAGTGCATCCACTTCGTCTCGCAGCACAAAGCACATAAAGATCCTTGCACACAGAGTTCACAGAAATTGGTGGCATTAAACTGAGCCACTGAAATCCTGAAGTAAACTTTGAATCACCCGTGATAATCCTGCTGCTCCTTAATAAGGAGGGAGAACTCTCTATATATCTCAGGATTGGATGGACCCAATATTTCCTTTCTATTTCTCTTTTTAAGAAGCGCGAGGACAACAAAACCATCCTCACTGCTTGAAGACTCCATTTAGTACTGTTTTGCGAATTTTTTCGCAATGGATTAATTATTAAGCATCGGACTCAGTGCGCGATGAATTTTTAGGATGACAAACACGAAAAAACGCATACAAAAATTTCGGACTCAGTGTGCAGTGACCTTTACTTGTGACTTGCAAAACAATTACTTGGTCCCACCTCTAATAATTCCCTCTCTCATGAACTCTTATGTCAAGTCAGCTTTATTTCAATAATGCTCTTTATAATGCAGACTGTGTCAAAGCACTTAACAGAGACAAACAGGAAAATTCACTCTGCTGTAAAGCAGGTCTAAAAGACAAGAGTGTAATTAAACAGTATGTAACAACTGTGAAGTTCATCAGTTTGAAATGACAGTTCTACAAAAGACAGCAATGTAGTTATTCAATTAGAACCAGTTAAGAGTTGACTGAAATCAGTTAGGTACCAATGTCAGTGTTGCACGATGGGATTCAGCTGTAAAGCAGCTCTACGGAAGATGGTATGCATCATCCAGCTTATGTGAAACTCAAGATTTGCTTTGTTTCTGGAAGTCTTTCCACAGTGATGGCACATGACAGGCTTCTCTACGATGTCCCGGAATGATTCCTAGGTTTTTCTTGTCTGTAAAACTCATTCCACACTGATGACATTCAAACAGGTCCCTCTTGAGTAAATCTTCATGTGGTACTTAAGATTACCTTTTCAGTTGAAGTTTCTCTCCAGTGTGAATTCTTCTCATGTGGGCTTCAAGGTATCGTTTTTGCCTGAAACTCTTTCCACACCGAGGGCATGTGTAAAGCTTCTCTTCAGTGTGAATTTTCATGTGAACTTTAAGGTTTCGTTTTCGCTTGAAAAATTTTCTACACAGAGGGCAGATGAAGGGCTTCTTTCCAGTGTGAACTCTAATGTGGTAATTAAGGTTTCCTTTTTTGTTAAAACTTTTTCCACACTGTTTGCAGGTGAAAGATTTCTCTCCAGTGTGAATATTCATGTGGATTTTAAGGTTTCCAGGATGACTGAAACTCTTTCCACACTGATAGCATGTGAAAGGTTTCTCTCCAGTGTGAACTGTCATGTGCCTGTTAAGGCTTCCTTTATGAGTGAAACTCTTTCCACACTGTTGGCAGGGAAAAAGCCCCTCCATAGTGTGAATTCTCAAGTGGACGTCAAGGTTTCCTTTTTGATTGAAACTCTTTCCACACCGAGCAGATCTGTTAGGCTTCTCTCTATTGTGAATTCTCATGTGCCTTTTAAAGCTTCCTTGTTGATTGAAACTTTTTCTACACCGATAGCATGTGTAAGGCTTATCTCCAGTGTGAACTCTCATGTGGACTTTAAGGTTTCCATGAAACCTGAAACTCTTTCCACAATGAGAGCATGTGTAAGGCTTCTCTCCAGTGTGAACTCTCATGTGCGTCTTAAGGCTTCCTTTATAAGTGAAACTGTTTCCACACTGTTGGCAGGTAAAAAGGCTGTGGATGTCAAGGTTTCCATTTTGATTCTCATACTGATCTTTCTCTTCAGTTTCATTCAGTACTTCCCTCTCCTCTTTCAGTGCCATCAGGTCTAAGGTGAAAAAACAAGCCAAAAAAAGTTAACCCCAGTTTAATGGCATAAAGCAATCAACATCAAAACATGTAGATGTGTAATGCATGTATGCTAGATCCTACACCAGGGTGTCCAAACCTGATCCTGGTCAGCCGGTGTCCTACAGAGTTTAAGCTGGCCATTATACAATTAATTTAAAAAACTAGATAATCTAATGACTGAGTTTAGGAAATCTAGATATAGACTGATCTCAATATACCATTATTATGTCTCCTAGGGGATAAAATGCAACAAACAGAAAAGGGGACAAGAGACTTTCAACCAGCATAACAAAAAATGTTTCTGAAGAAAATCACATATTGCTCCTTTAAGTCTTCATATGTGTTTGTCCTTTGGACAAGTAAATCAATCATTCATTTGTTAAATTTGTTGTAACATGATTGGGTAAGTCAACACTACAAAAGACACTTGTCAAATATCTGCTCAGATGGTAAAGTGTGTACTGGGCTCCTTTTGACGCAATCGAACTGAGTTCGGATCCGCCTTTTGCCGAACTTTTTTCCTCCCTTTTCAAATATCATATCACATCGGAAAGGCATTTACTTTCAATAAAAAATAAGGAAATAATCAAAAATTTTGAAAGTAAAGTATCGGGTAGGTTTAGGGTAGGTGTAGGGAGGGCTTTATTGTCTCAATAAGGTGGCATCCACTTAATAATTTGAATTAAAATTATAATTTACACTCAATGTTATTACGGCCAATTTGTTGTAACATGTGATTGGGTAAGTCAACACTACAAAAGACGCTTGTCAAATATCTGCTCAGATGGTAAAGTGTGTATTGGGCTCCTTTTGACGTGATCGAACTGGGTTCGGATCCGCCTTTTGCCGAACTATTTTCCTTCCTTTTCAAATATCATATCACATCGGAAAGGCATTTACTTTCAATAAAAAATAAGGAAATAATAAAAACTTTGAAAGTAAAGTATCGGGTAGGTTTAGGGTAGGTGTAGGGAGGGCTTTATTGTCTCAATAGTAAGGCTGCACAAGCTTCATCTGGCACGACCATGCTACTGACAATACATTATCCGTTATCAGTCGCCATTTACACTGAATGTAATAAAATTTGAATCATTCTCACCAAAGTTTTGGTGCCTCCTTAGTTATTTTTTGTTAATGAACAAATATGATTTATTAAGAAAAACTTAAAGTACTTGTGTAATTCGGGAATATACACATGAAATCAAGATTTCAGCTTTAAAAATAAATAAAAACCAAACATTTTAGAAAAGAACAAAACATCATGGTAGTTCAAACCAATGAGTATTAAGTTGCCACCAGAAAGTAATTTCCCATTCTAACTTTTAGGCCTGGTCCACACAAATTAGTTTTTGTTTGAAACCTTCCATCCACACTGGATGGACAACAGAGACAACATTTTGTCAAGGAAAACTGAGCTTTTTGAAAACACTCTCCAAAGTGGATAAATTTGAAAACTGTGTTTTTGCGTTGTAGTGTGGACTGTGGAAACGGTGGTATTTGAAAACGATGACACATTTTTAACAACTGTCCTAGGCAATTTTAAGGTCTTAGTAAAAGTGGTTGACACACAACTACAGTCTCATTTGGACAAATATAATTTGCATGAACCATGTCAGTCTGGATTTCGTCCTCTCCACAGTACAGAGACTGCACTTCTAAGAGTAGTGAACGACCTTCTCCTTGCCTCTGATACTGGTGTCATCAGTCTTCTAGTACTCTTGGACCTGAGCACAGCTTTTTATACTGTTTGCCATTCTATACTCCAGTCTCGTTTGTCTGCAGCTGGCATTACAGGAACTGTCCTGCAGTGGCTAAGCTCATATCTCTCAGACAGGCAACAGTTTATTAGCATTGATAAACACAAGTCTCGTTCGGTCACTTCTTCCCGTGGAGTGCCTCAAGGATCTGTTCTTGGTTCACTTCTGTTCTTCCTATGCTTCCTCTGGGTCAGGTCATCAAGCGCCATTGTCTAAAATTTTCCACAGTTATGCTGAGGATATGCAAATAATTTTTTTTGCACAGCCCAACACTGTTTCCTCCTACTTCTTTAACATCTTGCCTACATGATCTTAAAGCATGGATGGCTCAAAACTTATTAGAATCTCTGTTTTTTCAGTATTCATTTTTGTTAAGTGGCCCAAAATCCTTTGTCTCCTCTCATCTTGACTTTTCTGTTAATATTGACGGAGTTATAGTACATCCTTCCCCTACTGTACATAATCTTGGTGTACTATTTGATTCTGCACTATGCTTTGAACCCCATATCAACCAGCTGGTCAAGTCCTGTTTTTACCAACTTCGCTATATAGTTCGTTTACGACAAATTTCTAAGATACTGAAACTGTTATTCATGCTTTTATAACTTCATGCCTGGACTATTGTAACTCCTTGTTATATAGCCTACCTAACAAAGCCCTTAATCGCTTACAGCTAATTCAAAATGCAGCTGCTCGTGCCCTTACATTTACCAAAAAATCAGCCCACATCTCTCCTGTCTTAACGCAATTACATTGGCTCCCTGTCATCTATCGTATTCATTTTAAGATACTCATCCTAGTTTTCAAAGCTTGTCATGGTTCTGCACCTTTGTACCTTTCTAAATTAATTCACCCTTATGTCCCTATGCATATTCTAAGATTGAGTTCTGGGAATTTGCTTGCAGTACCCAAGTTCAGACTTTCTAGTGTGGGGGGCAGGGCTTTCAGCATTTCATCTCCTAAGCTCTGGAACAAAGTTCCTCAAACCCGTTGTGCTATCTTTTCACTTCAGACCTAAACTCGCTTATTTACAATATGTTTTATTAATTGACTGTCTGCCTCATTTTTCAATTCCATGCTTGCTTGTATTAACTATCTGGTACATAAGATGATCTCTGTCTGCTTTATTTGATTGATCATGTGACTGTATTTGTGTTTGTTATCTATCAACTTTATGTAAAGCGTCATTGGGTTTTGAAAGGCGCTATATAAATTAAACATTATTATTATGTGACACATATACCAATAGAAATCTGTTTATTCTTCATATTCATGACATTCTTCATAAATATCATTCATTTCTGTAGAGCTGGACATTTTTAAGGATCAAATGAGTGAGTTCAGCTTTGAGAATGAAAACCAACCTGTTTGTTCCTCAGTATCTTCATGTTTGACTCTGAACGCTTCTTCACTCTTCATGTCTTCATTCTCCTCTTTAATAAACACCATCTTTGTTTGTGTCTCAGTATCTTCTTGTTTGACTCTGAATGCTTCTTCAATCTTCATGTCTTCACTCTCCTCTTTAATAAATGCCATCTTTGTTTGTTCCTCAGTATCTTCATGTTTGACTCTGAACGCTTCTTCACTCTTCATGTCTTCATTCTCCTCTTTAATATACACCATCTTTGTTTGTGTCTCAGTATCTTCTTGTTTGACTCTGAATGTTTCTTCAATCTTCATGTCTTCACTCTCCTCTTTAATAAACTCCATCTTTATATACGCATGTCACGTGGATCTCAGCTTCTTAAACAGGAGTTTTTCTGTGCATGTGGACACTTTGTCCTGTTTAAGAAGAAGATAATTAACAGAAAGTAAATTATTCTCTAAAATAAATGTAAACTAAATCTCTGGTGCGTCTCAATCAAATCCCTAGTTCATTAGTCAGCGCACTGGTGAGGGAGTCCGTCAGAGTGATAGTTAATGGACTTAAATGACCTGATTAAAATATATAGTTAATAGTAGGTATTTATGATTTATATTTGGTATTAGGGATGTAACGATTCACTCAAGTCACGATTCGATTTGATTCACGATTTTGATTTCACGATTCACGTTTTTTTTTTTTACAAAATGAGATTTAAGACAAATTATAAATAAAATGAAAAAGAAAAATCCTTTTGTTACTGCTTGGACAAAATGCTGCACATTTCTTTGTGAAATTGAAATATAACACTATAATAATATACTAATATAGCACTTGCATATTATTGCTCTTTTGTTGGTTTT